ATAGCAGCCATGCTGAATTTCAGGTTGAACGCATCGGCGAGAGAATGTGTAGTATCAGGAACATGTTGCTATATTTTGAGTGAAGAAACGCTATAATGAGAAATTCGCGATTAAGGTACAATACGAGCACCCGGCATAAAACAAAAAAGTTATCGGAACCTTTAATGTTCTCCTTAGCTTGTGCCGCAAAATGAGAAACCTTACGCAAAGCGCGAGAAAAATAGTCGAGACGAAAATCATCGTCTTCGCTATACTTGACTTTGTCACACTGTTAATGCATCGTAGAAAAGGCTGTCTACAGACACTCTCTAGAGCGCCATCTTTCTTTCACATCGGCCGCACAATATCTCTCTGCAGACATAAGTATACATATGGACCAACACACTGTTCATAAACAAGCCCGCATTTGCCTACACCGGGTGTGGGAAAATTGCGCGTGCGCAGAAACCACGATCGCCTGAGGCATCTGCGCATGCGCAGTGTCGACAGCAGCGCCACCGCAGTGCCGTGACGATGCGCTTTTGGTGCTGCTTGATTGACTCCGAAGGATCGTGGGGCAGCCTACGGTCGGACATAAAGTGAAACGAGGTGTACAAAACCTGAATTTTCTTCCACAGGCACGCGTCGTTACTTATCTTTCTAACATTAAATTCTCGGAAATCACGAAGCAACAAAGCTTGCCAGTTTTTGTCATTTCGAACTTGTCGTCATCCCGACGGATGCGTCTACAAAAACACGCTTATACACGCTTCGGGGAAGCTTATACACGCTTCGGGGAAGCTTATACAGCTGTGTGCTCTGGTTTGTTAAATTTTGTTTTCTATGTCTACGCAGAATAGCCTTTTTCATGAGCGCTTTATTACCGACATTATAGTAAGGTGCAACCGACTTCGTCGCTCGTGTGCAAGCAAACATACGTCACTCTTTTTTGCGATGCAAACAAGGCGATAAATTAAAAAAAAAAATATTCGATGGGCTGTGGTGGAGATTTCGGGTGATTTCATTTCTATTTTAGGGCTTATTATTACGGGAATCCGAGCTCGCCAAGCGAATACGTACCACGCTTAAGTCAACGGCAGTATCTATCGCCCGCAGCAAAGGAAGCGCTAAAAAAAAGAGGCCGTCCTCTCGCTCCCTCTTTCCAAAAATGATCTCCGAATCTTCTAAAGGCTCTGTTATACTCCGACGTAACGCGCGCGCAAGCGAACGCTGGCCGAAGTCGGCTACGTCACGTCAGTCACGCCGCGCGCATAAAAAATTTGGCTTCTTTATACTCCGGCGTCCCTGGCGCGCTCGCGGCGCGCGTCGGTGGGCCGCCGGTGCGGCGCATGCGCAGAATCTGACTACGGGGGCACGTTTCCTGCAAGGGTGCGCCACTTCCGGTTCCTTTTCGTTTCGAATAGCATACGAAAATTCTCGCGCTTCTTGAGCGTCCAGTTCGAGCGATGGCGTGGACGTACCTTGCACGACGAAAACTCGCGCTTGCACTGTTGGTGACTGACCGCCTACGCTTGCGGCCTGCGCCGCAAGCGTAGGCGGTCAGTTTGCATACGGTACATCCTTGACAAGCGCCCGGTCTACGGCACTCAAGCTTCCTCGAGTCGTAGACACGCGGGTGAGGACGAATTCCCTCGATCAGCTTCTCGACCGACCGAGTCCGATTCTTCAAACACGACGCCACACGGAGTGGTGCTCCTGTCGTCTGCTATTGCTCGCATTCGCCGCGCTTCCCGCGCGACGCCTGTCGGGAGCCAGCGCGTGATGCATCCTGGTCCGGCGTCGCCGGCGCGGCCGGCGCGGAATACGGCATGCTCCATTTTGGCGTCGAGGTGGTCAGGCTGCGCCGAACGCCGCCGGTCGCGTCGGTTACGCCACGACGCCGGAGTATAGAGCGTCGGGTTTTCGCCGACGTGACGTCGCTGTGACGCGCTCGCGCGCGCGCACGCGTTACGTCGGAGTATAACAGAGCCTTTAAGGTAACCAAAACCACAACCTAGAGACGTGATCTTTACGTGGAATCAAGTTTATTGTTTTTCAAATGCCACGCCTTCTCTGGCAGTGAACATTCGAGACGAGTCTCTCTGGTTGGGGAGCAACAATCATAATAAATAAAGATATCCACCAACCAAATCCTTGTTTAAAGCGGGGAACCCTACGTTTCGAGAACTGCTTGGTCTCTTCTTCAGGGGTTGTCTGCGGCTATGGCCGTTGAGGAGCAGTATTTTGTTTTCTTCTTCCACGGCGGTGTCTTCCGTTTTGCATCGGTTGGTGGCGAAGTCCGTTCACGTAGACGGTGGGCAGAGTGCCGAAGAAACTGACGGCCCCAGCTTTTACGAGAGGCCTGATGCCGGTGGGATATAACATCTTAAACAGTTAAAGTACGTATCAAAGACCACAGGAAAAAACACAGAGGTTTCGTAATAGGGCCAAAAAAAAAAAACGATTACTTTTTTGCGGTCAGTCACACGTACATTAGCTATTTTAATAAGTAGTACAACTCGGCTACCAAGCCGCTCGTGAAAGTTGGTACCGTCGGTTCAACGTCAGTGCGCAGTACGTCCAACTGAAGTGTTGGGATGTTGTATATGTAACAAAGGGTGTAAGAATATACCTTTTTTTCTGTGTGAAGAAGAGCTGGAGCCGGGAGCGAGGAATAAGGCCAGCAATATCTGGATCAGTCTGTTCTACGGTTGTATATGTTCAACTTATTTTCCCCTCACGTCCGATGGGCAGCCGCACGACTGCACACCGGTTTCTCGGGGGCTGCAAGGCACACCGGGAGGCTCTTTGGGTCTTACGACCTCATCTGATGTCTCGTTCGGACAAGCCTAAGCCTCGTGACGGTCCTCCCCCCGAATGCCGTAAAAAGGATGCTTATGTCTCGGATACACCGCGCCTGTGCCTTATCCCAGCAAAACGCCGAAAAGAAACAGAATACTGAGACGGTGAAAGCATCTCCTCAGAATCCACCATCATCACCGACGTTCGCGAAGATGGCGAGATAATGGATGACTCGCGTGGCAACGAAGATGGCTTTACCCTTGTGGAACATCGCCGGAAGAGAAGCAATGGAGTACCAGTACTGCTAGTCCTGAAGGATGAGACTTGCCGCCTACAGCAGCGGAACATTTTGCACTTAAGCGGTGCGATCCATGCAACTACAGGCGGAAAAGTATTGCGCCATCATTTCACAGCACACGCAGGACTTCGCCTCGAAGTCACCAAACAGGATGCCGCCAATCGAGTACTGAAAATGAAAACGCTCTGCGGTGTTGAAGTTCAAGTGTCCGTGTCCACCGTTTACCTTCAGAATTGCGGGCTTACCAAGGGCGTTTCCCGGTTGTATTCTGCCACCCAGTTGTTGGATTACCTTGCACCACAGGGAGTCATCTCTGTCCGACGTCTTTTTTAGAGGCATTGTCAACAAGGATCCCCAGCTACACCGACAGATAAGGATTGCCTAACCTTTCGTCCGAACACCAAGAGACCAGCCCACATAAATCTGGGCTTACAAGACACAATGTAAGTAAGCACGTGGTGCACTACCACGCTGCTTCTAGTTGCAAGGTCATAGGCCACGTTGCAAAATAATGCAAAAAAGAAACCAAGTACAAGAAATGTGGAAGTCAACACCACATGACTCGCTCAAAATAGACCGACGCCACATGCGCCAACTGCGGGGTTCCACGTTCCGCAGCCTACGTAAGCTGCAAGTTACGACACCCAGCACCTGTCACGTACAAAAACATTTCTTCATAAAGTCAAATTTAGGGCTTTTACGTGCCAAACCAACGACGGGCTTCTGGCACGCCCCAGCGGAGGACTTGGGATTAATTTGGACTACGTGGGGATATTTTGACATGCAACCGAAAGCTCGGTTACATGGCGCCTCCTCCGCAATAAGCCTCCGTGAGATTGCGGGCACGTCGGCCGGGACTCCAACTCGCCACATGGGGATCCGTACGCCAGCGCTCTCGCCTCAAAGCCGCCAGAGCGACTAAAAAAAACAAAAAAAAACCATTTCTTTGAGGCCTAAAATCAAGGAAAGAAGCAGCACATTTTTCAGCAGCTCCAGGTGACTTTCCGGCCCTCCTTTCAAATGATGATGCCTCATCTCAGGAACCTCCCAGGTACCGCCGCCAAAGAGGAAGACAAAGAGAAACTCGAAGTCTGCGTCGCAGGGCTTTGCTTCGGCTATATCAGATAAGACCCCTAACATGAATGACCAACATGCTGGTTGATAACAGCGAAATGCGACACCCGAAGGCCTTCGGAGCTTCAGAAGCGTCTTGGCGAGTAATCCAGCTCAGAAATCAAAGACGATAATAGATATGCCAACTTTTCTACCCCTCCCACGACAACAACTGACAGTTCAAAGAACACAATTGTAAGGATTGTCTTTACAACTATTAATCATGTCATGGAAAGTCTGCCAGAAGGACAAGTTAAAGCTGCCCTTAAGGGCGTATTCTGCTTAGGAGCCCCTCTAGCGCTTTAATCAGGAAACTGACTTCCATCAATGTTGACAAACAAAAACAACTGGAAATATATCAAGGCCGCACGGATTACGTTGTACCCACGACGTGTCGACTATACTCCGTTTCACTTTAGGTCCGGCCGCAGCCGACGCTACGTTTCTATGCATCCAATCAAAAACCGCCGTCACTGCGCTCATCGCCTTTGTGTGGACGTAAAGTGAGACGGTCGGACTTGAGGTGAAACGGATCATAGACGTGACTAACTAACTGAAAAAGTGAAACGCAATACGATGGGCATTTATTTTGAGGTTATCCCCCTACATTAGCTAGTTACTTGGCCATTCCGAAAGTACCCAAGAATGCGGTGGCTACTGTAAATGTTCGCCAATGTCTACAAACCTTTCGTTCGCTGCACACGCCGTGTGAGGGCGGATGAGTAGAATAATTTGAAAAATATTTGCGTTTGTTTAATTAGCGTATGCAGTTATATAGAAATGTATTCTACATATTCGAAATCCCATGCCTGCTTTAGGATCCACTTTATCAATTTTAGAGTGCTGAAATTGAAACCAACGTACTTCGCATTGAAACATTTCAAGTGCTAAATAGAAGCAACATGATCGCGAGGACATGTTACGGTTAGCTTCTGTTTTAGGATTTCAGTAGCTGTTCGGCTTTAGTGCATATTCTCGTACAGTTCTAAAAAAACAAATATTTCAATTTCATAAAAATCCGAGTCATCGTAAGCACCACAGAGCCTCAGTCACACTGCCAAAGATTCATGATATCCGAACCCTTCGTTCGTTCTTTGATGGCAGCCTGCATCTTCTCGATATTTTCAGGGCTGAAATGCTGCTTCCAATCTCCCACGACTCCCTTGCGAAGGATATGGACGTCGGTCGATTGGCAAGACTCCTGGTTGCTGACAACCTGGGGCGGCTGAAGGTGTGGCGAGTTTGTGGTAAGAACCTTGAGGACCTCTTTGGGGCTTGCCCTCATTATATTCTTCATGAAATCCACGGTGCTCTTCTCGAGAACTTGCTCAAACACGTCCTGGTTTTCTTCAAGCACTCTCCTCTGCTCTTCGCCTAAAAAGCCGGCCAACCGTAGGACAACTTCTTTTTTGTTTCTCTGGAGCTCTTCGTACGTAATGAAAAACACGTTCGGGTCGTCTCTGTGACTGTAGCCTGAGAGAATATGCTCAAAGTAGTCGCCAAAACCAATCTTTGCGTCGAGAAACGCGTCTAAAAAGTCGTCGAATGCTCCGTTGATGAACTTCATGCCGGGACATTCTCGTGCAAAGTGGTAGCACGACACGCAGCAATCCCAGGGGTTCCGTGCCACGTAGATGTACTTTGCCTTGGGTCTGAGGCGAAGTTTGCTCATTGAGAAATGGGTCCGGAGGAGTCTGGGGGATGAGGTCGACCTGACTTCCACGACCTCGAGGAAAGGCGCCTTCTCAAGGGATTCGTTGTACGTTTTCACCGACACCCCCTTGGACATGATCAGCTGGACGATTTGCTGCATCCAGTGTGACCCAGATCTGGGGTACGACACCTGAAAAAAGAGGAAAGCAATTGAGCCAAAAAAGATGTTCGAGGACTCGCTGGAATAGTAATCTCAAACCATGGGGATCGTTTGCAATATAATGGCGGACGCCGTCTGCGGAGTTCGGTCGAAAGTGCAGATGCGCTGCGTTGTCGCGGGACTAGAAGAAAAACAACCGGAAAGACGGAGACGCTTGTGGACGATCAACGCTTTTGCCACCTCCTCGCACCTAGCACTGTAAACGCGGCCCATAAACGAGGTGACCCTGATCAAGCAGTGCAAAACTCTCTGTTCTCTAGAAGAAAGGAGTCGAGGCACACTCGAGCTAACCAGCCATGTACACGTTACTGAGAAAAAGTAACCAAATAAGATTACTCATTACTCGCTAGAAAAGTAACTAGGTACATAACTCGTTGCTACTATTCAAAAATAACGCGTTACTTGAGCTCATATGTAAGGAGTTACCTTTTCTTGTTACTCCGAAAGTGTTGTTTTTCTGAAGCAGTCGCCGACTCATAGTATTTTGCATTGCGTTAACGCAGCCATGGGCACGCTTTTTATTTTCTTGCTGGCGCTCTTTTTTTCCGTGCAGGTCGAAGGAGGCCTCTTAGGTGAAAACCACATAAGGTAATTTGTGCCGTGAACGCTCCCCTCCACAAGCGTCTAAATACCGTTACTCCGTGATCTATCCACAGGTAACGAAGGTACGTTACTTGTTCCCTCTCTCGAAAAGTAACCAAGTCATTACTTCGCTACTAAAGGAAAAGTGACAAGACAGATGTAAGGCGTCCAGTAACGGATTAGTTAACCAAAGCTGAAATTTGTTTTATTGACTTTTGAGAGGTGATCATCTACACAAGACGCATAGTTATAGTTGCAGGTAGAGAAGAATACGTAGTCTTTTAACTTCCTTATCTACGCATAAAGAAAAAGGTTTGAACAGCAGTAGAGCCTTTATTAAATGATGTTTCTAGAAGAGACTTCCCTTCTTCAAGTGAAGAACTCTCCAGAAAGGAGATAACCAGCAGTTAAACTCATATATGATTAATTTTTCCTGGCTCAGAAGTAACCTTATTGAAGCTTCAAAAGAACGCGCATTGGTCATTCAGGACGTCCATTGAAACTTCGTGGAACGTGTCTGTCATTAATATTTTTTTATGAAACAATCGCGGCGATCTTTTATTATGCATTTATACGTTCTTCATGAAACTACCATATTGCAACAAATAAATTGTTGGGCGTAAGACTTTCTTATGACATTTAGTGTTACCCAGATGGAAAGTTTAAAAGAAATGTAATATTACTAAAGAGACACACACACTAGTTACCAGGATGCACCAGATCAATATTTTATTGACAAGAAAGACTACAGGAACATTTAGAAATAAAAAATGCAACTCCCTCACCGACGTGCATAAGAAGTATAAATAAATTTGCCAAAGCTACGACCGACTCAAGCAACTTCTAACATAATGGTATAAAACTTCTAATCAATTACAGATAATTACACTTCCGCGAAGAAAAGTCTGAGTGAACCTCCTAGTTGCGTCAACCATTTGATTTATACGTGGAACAATCTCAACGCGCTTGTCAGGTAGTTGGCCTCATGATAAGATATAAGTTATAACCCGCAAAAGAAACAAAAAATCCTTACCTGTATAATATCTCCCTCTTGTGGTTCAAAGGTTGGGACTTGTCGGTAAAGAGCGGGGCTGAAGTAGATGCTGCATGGTTCACCGTCGATGTACTGAGTCACTGGGCAGCGTCTCGGTGTGCTCATGTCTGAGTATAGCTTTATGGGACGCCCCAGCTTCAATTAAAAAAAAACCTATGGGTGCAAAAAACGACAACAAAACATGCCGGTCACAATTGATCCATACGAAAACGTGAACTTTATAAACGAGCCCGCGATCGCCCACAACAGATTCGCGGAGGGTGAATCGTCTGCGCCTGGGCGGTGCCCACAGCGGCGCTGTCGCACTGGCGCATTAGTTTCTGTTTCTGCATTCGTTTTCCAACGTTCATTTTGGAAAACATCGCCGTCTCAGCGGAATTACGGGGCGATGTAAGACGCTAAAAAATTATCATGCTCCGCGTTTTGAAAACTGTCGGTTGACTTTGCGGAGCGAAAGTTGGTCTGCTTCTTGTACATGAGTTGCGATGATGTCCGAACATCGAGCAATTATTGGCTGATAGAAACAAAATAGTTGGTAAACCTTGAGACATTTAACATTGAGGTCCAGCCACTATCCTTCCAATCAAAGCCAATCAGAACTCGGCGTCATTCTGACGTCACCGCCACTCCTGCGCAAGAAGCACACGCAAGAAGAGGCGCGAGAAGCTTGGCAGATCGCCACGGGGAGCAGTCGCCGAAATGGAAAAGGTGGAGCGGCAGAAAACGGATGAGAGGAGAGTCACGTGACTGGCGCCCCGCTGCGGTGAGACGCCGAAACACACTTTTCGCGAGCGAACACGCGTGTTTCGGGTCTTCGCCGCTGGAAAAGCTGTGCGCTGACGTCCAGGCTCCCCGAGAAATAGCTCTCTGATGCTCTGTGCCATCAGATCCTCGCGCTCCAAATCTGCTACTGGGCACTCTATGGCCCTGCCGTCAAACTGCCAAGCTTTGTGAGTGTAGAGGAGGCTATGTCGAAACGTACTGTTGAAAGAATGCAGTTGGATCGGACTTTATTTCATCATAGATTACTAGAGACAATTAATTTTTATAACATTTTGAACTGTTACAAACTGGTTCTTTTACCAAACGGAGCAGTATGACTCCTGTACGGTGGATTTTTTTATTAAACGTACGATTTGTTTTTGCCGAATGCAAAGGCTGCCTATATTTGTTTTTGCTGTTGCTCTCCATACAAGAAGGCAGTCGTTAAAATGCGGATGAACCAATTCGCAGTATACTAGTTTTTTTTTATTTGATGTGCCAATAAATGTCTAATTCTATAGATGAGAACAATCAAGCGCGAGACTTTGGTTCTTACTTTAGCTACATGAAGAGACCAGCTTAAGTTTTCGTGAAAGAAAACGCCAAGGAAGTTGTGCGAAACACGTTCAATAATTTCGCCATGCTTATTTGCAATGAGCCATAACGATACTATATAGAGTTGCTCTTAAAAATTAGCAAATATTTAATTTTTTATACTTAACAAAGCAATTTCCGCGGACTTTTGCTTCTGAAAGCCGTACTATTGTTCTGATATACAATGTTTTGTTTCTAGAGCCCTGCTCTTAGGCACCCGTTTGCGGCTTGTGCGGCGACGCTGTCGCCGCCGGCGTAATTGCACGTTGCAATAAGACCTTTCCCATAATGACGTCATACTTGACGTCACGCGTGACGTCATGAGACCAAAATTTTCCCGCTAAACTTGGCAGAAACATTTTCCTCTAAATTTAGCAGGAAAGTGTTTTCGCTAAATTTAGCAAAGAAATTTTCCCGCTAAATTTAGCGGGCAAATTTTACCCTCGTGAGGTCATGCGTGACCCTCCCCTCCGTACCCTCACGTCCTCCTCAAGAGATGCGCTCTAATTCGGTATTACAGAGACTTGCAAGTTTTTCGGTTTTTTTTTGTTTGTTTTTTTAGGTAGTTTAACCGCTCATTCACACTAGAAGCGGATCCGCGTTCGCAAAGCGGTTGCGAACGCGGTTGTATAAAGATCCAGTAGAATTGCACGCGCACTCGATGACATCAAGTGCGCGTGCAATTGTAGTCGGTCTTTATACAACCGCGTTCGCAACGGCTTTGCGAACGCGGATCCGCTTCCAGTGTGAATGAGCGGTAAAAGTGGCTTCTTGTTCAATTGTTCTAAAATTGTCGAAAAAATTGATAGAACCAAAATTTTTCTATAATGTTTCAAATCATTTTTATCCTCTCCTTTATGCATCACTGGTACTCTACCAATTTTTAATTTACTTTTTTAATACACCGGTGCCCAGAACTAGGTTACATATGTCACATGTGTGATAGTGGTTGGCTAATCAAGTTGGCAACTGATCTTATAGGTCAAGCTTTTATGCCATCCGCACTGCAACCACTATTATTCTTTAGTTTTTCTATTAGGTTGCTCATTTCTTATTTTGTTGTTAGAAACATAAAAAAACTAACTTTTTGCGGTCGAGGTGATGTAACGTTCGTACTCAGTAATGCTTGCAGCATTTTTACTCGATGCATAAAACTCCAACAAGTGTTCGTTGAATTTATCAGCAAGCGTAGTCCCAGTGAGAGAGATGCCTTCAACAGTAAGCTCAGCAATTCCACATTTTTTTGTTATTTGACATAAAGGGGGTAACAGTATTCTAGATTTGCCAAAAATTATTATACATGTCCGCAGATTTATTTTCATAATATTTTCCTCGTGCTTGCTTAACGTCACGGGATAACTTGTTCCTTTCCCTTTTAAATTCAATTAGATAGTCTGGGTTCCTCGTTTTTATAAGTAAACCGTAAAGCTTTTCACGATATTTTATTCTTTTGAAGCGAGGCCTCAATCCAGAGTTTCCTTGATTTCTAGTTTGTTTTGAACTCCGTCATAGGAAAACGCCCTCTCATAAAGCTATTTTATTGTCGTTTAAAATACGCCGTACGCTATATTGGGGTCAACCAATTGCAAAATGTTGTTGCAGTTTGACTCCGAAACTAACCTTCGAAAAACAAAATGATTATCCTTGTTCATCAATCTATAGGTAATTATTGCGAATGTTGATGTTTTTTTTTTATCACGTTGTGTCAACTAGGCCGAAAAAATGTCAAGATCCGTAAGTGGTCACTACGGCCTGATATGAGTACACCTCCTTCTAGCTCTTTCATTTGGTACTTAGTAAAGCACAAGTGAAGTATTGTTTCAGACACGTCCGTCTTCCTAGTGGCTACTTTCAGCATATATTGAAGGCGAAAAGCACATAGAGTATCAAGACGTTTTTGCGCAGTTGGGTCTAATGAAAACAAATCTGTATTGAAGTCAGCACTAATAACAAAATGAATACCAGTGTGCACACAAGCCTCTAGCATATCTGGAGAAAAATAAAGAAGACGTGCCTTGGAGGAAAACAAGACAACGAGTACCGTAGTGGCACATTTGATGAAAAGAAACTCGGGCGTTATCCTAGAGTATTCGGCCTCACATATCATAATCTAGACATTCTTTCATATATACCGCCACACCTCCTCCTCTCCTATCCTTTCCAGATAGCGACGTACCTCTGTATCCTGCAAAATAAAAAAAATGTCGGAGTCATCTCAAAAACCAGGTCTCAGTAAAAGCTAAGTTGTAATCTAGGTCACTTAAAAATGTTTCAACAGCGTCGTGTTTATTTTTTAAACTTCTAGCATTCAGATGCAACAGAAAAAACGGCTTGTTATGCAATGCGCTACAGTGCTTCAGAGAAAGGGCATCGTAATAACTGCCATTTTTATATAGCTTGTCACGTCGGTGGGTAGCAGTTTAGATACCTACGTAAAGAAAAAATATTTAGCGTACGATTTCCACATCTTTCTCCGTACTGATTTTGATGACTCGGTCATCGGCGCCTCGGCGAAGGAGCATTTTTCCATACTTTTGCGAAGCAAACTTATATTCCATTTCAGCTGCTTTTGTCCCAATTTTCCAGAAGAGGTTCTTGTTTTGTGCTGTGAGATTTCTATTTAAATTTTTTTTTTTTACTTCGCTTTCCTCAATTCTTTTTTTTCGAGCCATGTGTCTTTCGTAAGACGGGATGCAAAACGCGCAAGAACAGGCGTACTCTTGTCAGACCGTCCGGTCCGTGAGGGTAGTCGATGAATGGCTTCGACATCCGTTTCACGAAGCTGTGAAAGCTCGAGGTTATTGGCCAGTAGGTTTATTTTGTCAAGCAGATGCTCGTTTACATGCTGGAGCAACCCGTGGATCTCTAAGTTTCGCCGCCAGCTCTACTGCTCTATTTAGTTGACTTTTTGTCTCAGTTTATCGATTCCTTGGTCTCCCTTCCAGTTTTCCACACTCTTCTTCAGACCGGATATCTCCTGGTTTTGTACCTTCATCTCGGCAATTATTCCGTCATATTTCAACGAGAATCCCTGCACTGAGCGCTCAATGCTGTCGATTGTTTCCTTAATGCCCAGAAGAGTACCTTGTTTCGTTTCAAGCACTCCGTAAAGTTTTCTGTGAATCTGGGGAGTCTCACTAGCAGTCCCTCTCTCATAGCCACTATTAGTAATTTCGATTTGTTTCAACTTGCTTTGCAAAATCTACATGAATTATTTCATGTAATTGTACTAGTATAAGTGAGATATATTTTTATAGATTTTGTTGTTTATATATATGTGTGTGTAGGATAGCGGACTGCATATTTTTGAAGTGTTTAAGTCGTCTGTATCCGGCGTTTTTTGCATTTCCTTTTGTATTGCTTCTCAAATTTTCATCTCATGCTTACTTCTTCTTATCTGCTCTACCACCCCCTTCATAATGCTTATGCCTTGAGGGTATGTATAAATGAATAAATAAAATAAATATGATCCGTTCCGGTTTCGTCGCCCTTCGATGTCATCTGGCCGCTTCGAGCCCTCAACGCCCTACATGTCGTGAACTTCCATTATTATTTTTTTTTTTGTTTGCATCAGTTTTACTTGTTTACATACTGCCACTTACTCCGAAACACGTGCCACTATGTTAATTAAATTCACAATATGAACAACATAAATCGTCTTAATCATCGGGAAGCAGGTCATGACAGGCAAAATATTTGTTTTCCATTAGTGCCTTGCTTTTACAAATAAACATTCACACAGCAGCACG